GTCTTTAGAATAAATCTCATGTTCAGATGAACAACTCAATGCCTTGGGTTAAAATGTCAATTTTGAGTCTAAAAAGGCAGTGGTGTGATCTTATTGACTCAAAGAAAGTATGGGTGTATAAAAAGATAAAGGCAATGTTCAAGAATTTCAAAGGGAGGTAATGTCAAAATTTGGTCTTTTTGGTAATGACCATGAGTTATTTGGGCAAAGAATCAAGGTATTTTATTCTGGGGTTTGAGACAGGATAAGAAATGTATAATCTTGTCATATGTCAAAAATCTATAATTCTTGAAGAATTAAAAGAATCCTTAATTCATTTAATATTCGAAGACCTAAAGATTAAAACTCGTTCAATTGCTCCACCTTAGAAAGTAGCATAAATTCAATCGTTTAACAGATTAAGCAAACATGAAAGATCAGAGACGTGTTCAAACAAAACAATCCTCTAAGTGCAAATGGTATATGTCATGTCCCTTCTTCGGCTTTTTATGCCCTGAATCCATCAGGTTTTGGATCTTGCGCTTCAATGCCTTATAGTTCTCAGAGGAATGTTTGGGGCTTCTTATGTGGTAACAGCTAACAGCTTCAACATCGTAGTCCTTAGGATACGAGGATTCTTTTCTTAGATCATCATGGCCGGCTTTGTCCTATCATCAGCTAATTAGGCTCTTTAATGTTACAATCTTGCTTCCATGTGGTTAAATTCGCTTCATCGAGTCCTTCATGACCTAATTTCATGTTTGTGAAAATGCTTAAAATTGTAGATGAAAATGCAAAAAGGCAAAAATGCAAAATGCAAGAATGCATGAAATGTTCGAGGCATTGATCCAGAAAAGTGTCCATTATTATAAATAATCCTTATTCAGACAAAAATATTTTATCTTGTAAGAGATATAAAAACAATAAAAGGTATGTTCGAACTAAATCTTCTAGACATCCATCCAAGATACTTTCTTCCATGACTCGACTGCTTCTTTGATCATCTTCTTATAACTGTCACTGTGATACATAAACTCTGATATAGAAAATCCATATGTTGCTGGGACAAACTGATGTGCCCCATACTGTCTAAGTGCCAACAACGGAGCATACCCAACTGCACCTCAAAGTCCAAATAGGGTCATAGTGTCAGAATTCCCACACTTGAAAAGAACATCACTGAGGAACAACCAGGGGGCTCTCCAGGTAATATCCCGGTCCTGAAGATGAGTGAAGACTTTCATCCATTTCTCTTTTAAAGCGCCTTCATGTCATGTCATGGTGATGAACTCTCACAAAGGTGAATACGTAGTGTTAAATCTACAGTAGGCAACCCCATTAGTCTTCCAGAAGTGGATGTGAATCCAGACTTGAAGGAACTGAACACATCCAATGAATCTACCTCCGCCAGGTCTTCGGTAATGGTTGAGAGACCAAAAGGTCTCGGCTGAGATGGTCGGTGCTGGGTTGACTCGTTTCGGAAGTTGCTCAAACAGTTCCACCACGGCTGCGTCAATGCATCCCAAAACCTTTGGAAAGATGATCAAGCCATCCAGACCTAGTGCAAAAAGGTCTATAGTCTTCCATTCATCAAGGTGGTCCTTCATTAGTTCCCTTATGTGGATCCACTCAATTCCTTGCCCGTTACCTTTGTTTCGGAGTCGGTCAGTCACCCATTTTTCATCAACTCCTGCAATCTTAGCCAGCCCGTTCTTGAAAGGCTCACTCTTGATGTGTTTGATGTAGGCTCGCTCCAGTTTAATGCTTTCACAGTGCAATAGTGTAGTATACTCCTCGATGGTAGGTACCATGTCCTCCTGGTTAAAAGTGAAGCAACTGTATCCCAGGTTCCAAAATTGAACCAAGACTCTGATTAAGGGCTCATTGGTCTTAACATGAAGCAAAAATACAATGTCACCATACCGCTGACTGAACTTCTGTTTCCGATCATTCTTCCAACTATCTCAGATGTCTCGAAGTTCTTTGCACATTATTCTGTTTTAGGCTGATATAGGCGTAGCTAACCAGCTCTGACACATAGCTTCCTTGAAGACTGTCTCCCTTTTTCTTCTGAGTCTTCTCGAACCATAGTCGTACCTCGGGGTTTTTAATCTCTTGTATTACAACACCTTTGTCCATGGATTCAGATTATTCGAATTTTAACAAACACGTTTTAGTGGATCAATGACCTCTTTTATGATGCAAGTGATGAAAATAAAATAAAATAAAATAAAAGAAAGATGAAAAGAGTTAGTGAGGTGAAAAAAATAATAAAAAACGATCATAAAAATGAAAGTCCTACCCCACATGATATCTACCCCACATGCTTATTATTCCTACACGTACATGATCTCTATCTCGCATGCTACTTTCAAACAAATCCTAACCGCATATTTGTCTAGTTCGCATGCTTTGAACAGAAACTAAAGCAGGAAACAAAGCAGCCTAGGGTTTGGAATGAGGTTTTGGGGTGGGCTCTAATTCTCCATGGTCTCCCGATTTAGGTGTTAAAAATGGTACCCGAGTTCTCCTTGCTGGTGCCCCCTTGGGCTTGCCAGACCCTTAGTCCTAAACCCATCACAGGCTTGTGTGGACTAAGTTAAACTCGAGAGGAAACATTCCCTTATGCCCATACGGAGAATAAATTCACACGAAGGCATAAGGTATATGAATCCCGAAGGTTACTTGCTAGGCCCATACGGAGAATAAATTCACACGAAGGCGTCGCTTTCACCCCCACTTAAATAGGGTTCGGAGCTCGGGTATAGAGCCTTTAGATGAAAAATCTTTAAGGGCTGAAATCATTAAAAAACGGTCAGTACAACTATTTACTTCGAAAATATAATCAAAAGTAAGCAATAAGGATCGAAATGTTACCTTAAAATTTAAACTTACCCTTTTCATTAAAAAACAACTGGAAATTACCTTAGCCTGACTCACTTACGGTCCCCAGCGGAGTCGCCAAGCTGTCGCAACCGTCTTTCGGTTGGGCCCCGGAATTGGGCTTCGACTTGAAAAATGTGGATTGGAGTCACCACCGATCATTTATTTAAAAATAAATGGGTTGATCGGATACCCTATTTCTTACCTGATCTGCGTCTTACCAGAAATATGTCGGGTTCGGGAGTCGGTTACGGTCAAGGAAGGATTAGCACCCTTAAACCGCCCTTTCGGTACTACGTAATTTCCAGTTGTCTTAATTAAGAAAAATAACAAGTTAAATTAAAAGGTAAAGTTTCGATCCTAATTACTTACCCTTGATTGATTTGAAAAAAAATCGAGAATGTGTTATATAAACAAGGTAAAGAAAACAAATAAGATACAAGGGAAAAATAAAATAAATAAAATAAGTAAGTAAGATAAGAAAAAATAGTAAAGTAATAATTATATATAGTAATATTTGAAAAAGGAAAAAATATAAATATATATATATCAAAGTATTAATAAAATAAATAAGCTATATATGTACACCAAATACTTAAAAATAGAAAAACTACCCTCCCAATTCACCGAAAATGGGGGGCTCTAGTAAGAAATAAGACAAAAAATGGGCCCTCTAGGTTAGTAGTATATATAATGTTTAATAATGATAATGATAAAGACACAAGGTTTTTTAAAAAAAATAATATAATAATAATGAAAAAAAACGAAAATAATAAAAAATAATATAAATATATAAAGTTATAAGATATATTACATAGATAAAAAATAATCAAATAAAATAATTAAGAATATATATATTTAATAATATGTATATAAATAAACTATTAAAAGTATAAAAATATATACGACTAGATAAAGATAATTTAATATATATATAGTAATATTAGACTTATAAGTAAAATATTAAAGAAATATATATATAATAATATAAAATATAGTAAAAATCAAATGAAAATAATTTAATATATATATATACATATAATAATAATAACATGAATAATAAAAATAAATGAATAAAATATCCATATAATAAATAAAGGGACTAATATAGATTTTTAAAAAGCTCTTTCCCTCCTTTAACCGAAAATCAAACCGGTTTTTAAAAATAAGCCTCGGGGTAGATCTAGGTTCGAAACTTCGAAACCCCACCCATTTTGGTCATCGGCGCAACCCACGTTTTGGGTTATTCGAACCAAATCTCAAAAAAATAATTTGCACATGCAAAAGAAAGAAAAAAGAAAATGCTACCGTTTATTTCCTTTTCGAATCCTTTACAATAGCTTTGCCTTTGTATCTTCCCGTGCTTTCCTCTATGTTTTGTGTATAAATCGTGTCCTACAATAGTGAGTTACAATGGCTATTTATAGTGCTTGTGGATCCTATCTTTAGGAGTTTAAATCATAGTAGAACTCTATCCTATTTTTTAAATCCTAGCAAAATTCTATCCTATTTTTAGGAGTTTGAATTCTAGTAGGACGAAAAGGCGTGTTGACAATACCATTGGTTAGGTTACATGCCAACACTCTCAGTTCAAACATACGTTGGATTCCCACTGATTTTCCTTTTTAATTTTATTCTCTTTTATTTACCAACATGCTAAAAAGTAAATAAAAAGTAAATAATTTTAATTATTTTTTCGTGTTTTATTTATAGTTGGGGACTAAGACTAATTATTTGTGTACTTTTCTCCCTTTTAATGGAAAATTTTGCAAATACAATACATTAAAGTTATACTTAAATATGTTCATAATTATGTTAAATGTTTGGCTTTATATGCAATATGCTTTTGATAAATGAAACCTTAGGTATGATTTTGAAACTTTATGTTTATATCACCTTTAAGTTTTTGATGGTGCGATACAAAATGAAACTTAAACTAAATATTATGTATGATTTAAAAAAATAAAATTTAAATACTAAAACAAAATAAAAGTAATAGTATAGATACTAAATATGTAATTTACCTGAAATATTTTCGTTAAACAAATCTATATTATTAAATATGGGCTGGAAAACAATTAAGCGGCCCAAAACCGACACTAGCTCAATAAAAACTGAAATAAAACGACGGCGTAGCCCTATCTAGGGCAACATAGACCAAACCCCTATAGTTAAAAGCTTCGTCGCACCCTAAATTCAAAATCCTAAAACTGCGCCTCCACCGTTTCCCCCAATTTCTCTCACTTTGAGGCTTGAGCAGACTAGATGGTTTGTTTCTCTGATTATCTTCGTCTTTTCAACATTGAATCCAAAGTTCAAACTCAAAATGTGTTTTAAATTTTCTGGGTTTACTTCTTTCTTTTTTGCAGGCACCAAAGAAAGACAAGGCCCCTCCTCCTTCCTCCAAGCCAGCAAAGTCTGGAGGTGGCAAGCAAAAGAAGAAGGTCAGATCCTTTAATTTCTATTCAATGGGGTTGATTTTTATGCATTTCAGAGTTATATAAGAAATGGGTTTCTCTTCTTTTGTGGTTTTTTTGGTAATTACAGAAGTGGAGCAAGGGAAAGCAAAAGGAGAAGGTGAACAACATGGTGCTGTTTGACCAAGCTACCTATGATAAACTTCTTTCCGAGGCTCCTAAGTACAAGCTCATCACTCCCTCTATTTTATCTGATCGTTTGAGGGTATGTTTTCTCATTTGTTTTGGTTTTGTATTTTCCTTTTTTATTGTATATAGTTTTTGCTGGATTTTTTGCATTTCCGATTATGTATGGTTATAGTTTGATTATCTCTGTGTTGTTGTCAATCGTCTGGAGGTAGAGATCTATGGATGGATGAATTTGGGCTTAGAACTAGATGATGATAGGGGTTCTTTTTTCTGAGATTTATCCTGGTGTATTTGTTTTTATTCACAGGAGAATTTATATTGAACTTTATTAGAATGGGTACTGTAATCACTTTAAATAGAGCAAGTGCAATGTGATTTAACCTAATTTGAAGTGATATACACAAATAGGATATGCTTTCATAAACTTGTTGTCTGATTAATGTACGTATATTTATGCATTTGTGGTAGAGTCTAGGGGATATGCTCCTTTTCCTTGTTGACTTGTATTTGTTCTTAACGTGGAGCATCCCGGGAGTAAAATACTGAATTCATCAAACCTATTTGGGAGTTGAGAAACAATCCAGTTTACTGACCCATATATGTTGGCCTGTACATGCATGCATGAATATCATTAAATGAATGCCAGCATTCTGTTATTATGTCTAATATGGTTTTACATATTTTGCCCAGATAAACGGATCACTTGCAAGGAAGGCCATAAGGGAGTTGATGGCAAAAGGATTGATCCGTTTGGTGTCTGCTCACTCGAGCCAGCAGATTTATACTAGGGCAACAAACACCTAGATGTTTTGTTATATTTTTGCTTATTTAGTTCTATGCAGTATTTCCATTTTATGAGACTGCTATAAATTATTGTTACTTTTACTGAAGAACTCCCACTCAAATGGGATCTTTCTATTATGTGTGAGCTACAGTTCTTGTTGTTGTTATGGTTTGATGGATACTTCTTTTCAGATTTATTTTGCATGGTTTTGGCTACTGAGCTTTCCTAAATTTGTTCTCAAAATGAGATTTTAGTATGTATTGGATTGTCGCATATATGTGTTTTTGGCTTTGTATATATTGTTCTATGAATATTTGGGGTTGAAATTTGATACAAATTGTTTATACATCTTGGTATATATTGTTTTTGTTCTCGGTATTGATGTATTTGTTATACGTATTGGATTTATTAGTATTTTATAATAAGGGTGAATGGCATTGCTCTTTGTATTGCAGTTTTGAGTTGTCATTTTTATCAATGTGGTATTTGTTTTTGTTAATCAAGCAATATGCATCATGTCTTTTGCTTCTGTGTTCTACTGTCTTTGATCCTAATGTTAAATGGAAGACAGGTTAGGACACGTGGACCTTTTTCAGGCTGCCATTTGACGATTCAATTGAGATGGGTCAAATGAGTTGCAGCAATTAGTTGTAAAGGTCCATATTCTTCGTCACTAAATTGAAGCATTATTATTCTATTCTTCTATTTCTCTAAAAATTTCTATTACTCCACACTTCAAGCTCTTAAATTTGTCTAAAAATACTCTAAATATCACAAATTAAATCTAAAGATCCAAAAAAAATTCAATCTTTGTGCATCCCCGTTGTATGAATAGACTATTGGAGTATGTTTGAGATTCTTTTATTTTGTTCATATTGGATCGGAAGAACTCTGATTTTCATAAAATGAGATGATCGAAATGATCCCTCGGTCACATCTAACTTAATAGATTGATGACGACTCTTAGTTTAAAAACACGCTTGTAATTTTAAAACAAATATTTTGTAAATCTGACTTCACTTTGGAGAGTTGAGTTTGAAAGGTGGTTGATCAAGTTTGTATTGGATTTGACTGAATTTGACTTCATACAAAATTTGTGGGCTTAGTTTTCCCAAAGCTGAAATGCTTTGTTATCCTATTTTTCAAATAAAGTTGATAAGGAAAGTGGAAGATCAAATAGGATTCCACTTGGGCATGATTTTCCTAAGTCGCCGGTTGGTTTTACCAACTTGCCATTTGCATTTGTGGTTCTTATAGAGAGAGAGAGAGAGAGAAGCTATTTTAATGATGTTACAAGTCTCCCACTTGAAATTTTGTCACCTTATTCTTTGTTTCCATCTTCACAGTCTTTGTCTTCCCTTCTGGGCATCATCCAAAATTTTCCATTTTGATCGAGATCTCAGTTTTATTTTTTATTTTTTTATTTATAAATTTTAAATTTTAGGATAAACTTAGCATTTAGTATTTTAATTATCAATTTTAGTCTGTTTTAATATCTAAACTTTCATTTTTTTTTCAAAATCATACCTAATATTTTGTTTTTGTTTTATTTTAATACTTGTTTTTAAAAACTTAATGGACGGATTGACGTGACATAGCTTTGATGGAAGGACGATCAATCTGAATGGTGTACCATGAGAAAATGACGAGTCAATCAACATAGTCTAGTTTCAGGCCCATCGGACTGTGAACCATGGAGATTGGAGCATGAAAAAATTGAAGAGTCCATCGTTGATTTGGGGAGATTGAGGCATTTTTCAATAAAATAGAGGATGGAAACGAGTTCAGGGGTCGAAAAAGTGCAAGCTAGAAAGTTTGGGCTTTATTAGCCGACAAATACGATGGCCGACGACTGTAGACGTGGCGACCAGTGAGCCCTGTCTGTTAAATTTTTAATGGTGGTGTACTAAAATAAAAGAAAAATTAAACGTTAGGTATGATTTTGAAAAAAATAAAAAAATTTGATACTAAAACAGATCAAAATTAATAATTTAGATACTAAACACCTAATTTACTCAAAATTTTATATAAATAATATTAATTTTTTACCACTTGAGTGGGCTAAATTTTTACAATAATAATGTTTAAAATAATGATATAGATATATTAATTGTTGGGGTAGGGCGAATGCTACAATTGTAGGGAAAAAGCATGGTGGTATATACGACTTAGGGTGATGCCATGAAGACAATGCGTCTACAATGTTGAAAATGATAAACATCAGGACTTCAATGTGTCTCCCTCCCTACAACCCAGTTGTTTCGAGTATTGATTCTCATATCAACTCTAACCCATACCCTTCATGCAGTCTATACCCTGTAACATAAAAAATCATCTTTAACCTATACTCTAGTCAATTAAACAACTTCAACATAAAAAAATTCAGTTATATATGTATATGTGAAGGAGTTCTTGAAATGGATTTCATAAAAAAAAAAGATTGAAAGGAAGAGCAATTGATAGAGAGCATTTGATAGAGGGGAGCATTTGTAAAGAAGATTAAAATATTGTTTTGAAATCAAGTTGTTGGAAGAAACAGTTAAGTAAGTTGTAGTTGTAATTTACGATTTATAGTTATGTATTATTTGATTAATATTTATATATTGTATAATAATTTTACGATTTATTGTTATCATGTTATGATCATAGTATATGTACCTGTATTTTTTATTCTATACAAATTTTTTAATTTGTAGAAAACATGAGCAACAACTTTTTCAAGATTGTCCATTACATTGGACATATAATGGAAAATAAGATGGGAGTTGTTTTCCAATCTGAAAGACCTATAAATATGATGTTCAAAATGGAAATCACATTTGTAGAAAAGAAGCAAAGGATAAAAAGAAAAATTTGAGCTACAATTGATGGTTTAAAGTATAGGTTTATGGTATGTCTCAATCTAGTTAGATATGTTGCAGTACCACTTGAAAAAGATAAGGATATTATAACCATGATTGGATTACATGAGTTAACAAATATTGCAGTTATTAAGTTATTTATTGAGGTGCATAACATATCTTATGTTTTTGGGTTATCAAGAAATGGGATGGAAATTAATCTAAAATGGCTTTCAGAAGTGAGTTTGATGACTCGACATATAGGTCGATAAATAACTTTATGGCACTATTAGAAAGTGGAAATAAGGTCAGTGGGACATCCATAGCAGCAAAGTATGGGGAGAAAAACATACATCATTCGGAATTGAATGTTGATGTTGATGCCAAAAATCGATGGAGAGAAATACATGATGATTCTGGCGAAGATGAAGAAAATGAGGAACCAGTTTGACTGACGATGATGATTTATGCGGTGGTGGTGCATCTGATTTGGCCATAGATAAAGTTCTAGCACTGTATCAACTTACCCCTCATATGTACGAGATAGATTATGATGCGATGAGGGCACCTAAATTCCTAGACATGTCACATTTAACTCCATATCACATGGTTGAACCACTAGAAAATTCGGGTGAATTTTTAATCGGGATACAATTTATAAGAAAAAAATGAAGTTACGTTGGCAATTAAAAAGTATTCAATCAAAGGCCATGTTGATGTCCAAGTTGTAGAGTCCAACCAGAAAACCATATATATGAAGTATGTTAAATATGGCCCAGAGTGTAAGTGGAAGACCAAAGTGTCGAAAATTTAGAGACACGATGCTTGGGTCATCACAAGGTACAATAGTCCTCACACATGTTTACGGAACTCCATCAAACAAGACCATTGACTATTGGAAATCGATGTAATATGTGAATATGTGAAAGTATTGGTTGAAAAGAAATCTAAGGATCCCTAGTTCAATGTTAGTTACATCTATTCGAAGCCAGTTTGTATACCATGTAATATACGAAAAGGTTTGGAATGCGAAGTTGAAGATAATGAATTTACCGTATGGAGATTGGGATACATAGTACAATGAGATACCAAATTTGATACAAACAATGAAGTGATTCATCCTAGGAACCATAGTGAAGTCTCAAACCATGTTTGCATACAACAAAGAAGATCAACTTGCTCTAGGGAAGAAAATATTTCGTATACTCTTTTTGGGCATTCAAGTCATGCATAGAAAGATTTCCATTTTACAAACATGTTGTCAAAGTAGATGGTACGTGGTTGTATGGTGAATATAAACATGTATTATTGATAGCAGTTGCGCAAGATGGTGAACAAAATATATTCTCAGTTGCATTCATCATTGTTGAATGAAAGACAACATAGGCTTGAAATTTCATTTTGACCAATCTAGGTCAATATGTTATTCGAGAAGATGGAGTTTTCTTGATATCTGATCTAGGAATGGGTATTTTGGCGCCAATTGAACGACCAAGAAGTCATTGGATACCTCCAAGTGTATATTCCACATTTTATATATGTCATATTAGTAAGAACAATATCGATCAGTTTCATAACGCTCACATTCACAGCGAAATAATAAGTATGAGTGAGTTTTATTTTATTTTTAATATGGTTGTATCTATTTATGTGTTTTTAATTGATCTTTAACATAATATATATTATGATGATACGAACTATGCCAACCAAATTTTGATAAGAGGTTGGAGAATTTAAAGGTGATTTATGGTGAGTGTGTTTAGAAATAGGCTTCAAGAATTATGTAGGAAAAATGGTCGCAAGCATATGATGGTGGTCGAAGATACAGGAACATGACAACAAACCTCGCCGGGGCCGTTAATTTAGTATCAAAAGGTACACATCATCTCCCAATAACGAGTGTGATGAAAGAGACATACTTTAGGTTGGCTAAGGTTTAGTATGATAACGAGAGAGAAATTGAGTGTCTCATAAATATAGGTCATACTTAGGCTCATACAGTGGTGGAAGCAATGGAAGAAAATGAGCGATTGACAACCTCAATGTTTGTTTATAACTTCGATCAAATTGGCCATACTTTTTTGTATCATGCATATATCGTAACGAATGGAGAATGTTAAACATTTAGAGTTGATTTATGACACAGATGGTACAACTCTGGTCGCTTTTATGCTTGGAGATATCATTATGCTCATGCAGTCGTTGCATGTATGTATGTTGGTATAAATGCATATACTTATGTTTATGAGTGCTTTCACCTAAATAACATATTAAATGTCTACAATTATGTATTTGGACATATCCCTTATGAATCATATTGGTCGAAAAAGGATCATGACGAATGACTGTCAAATCC